GGACATATCTGTATATGGAAAAGGGAAAATATACTATTTAAAATGAAATATATATATATGTAATATAAAATAATGATATGCATATTTAGATTGAATTATCAGAGTTCACTATGAGAGTCTACTTGAGAGTTCTCTTGAGAGTTCACTATGAGAGTCCACTTGAGATATCTATATGTGGAAAAAGGAAAAGATAGTATTGACACATATATATATGTTTGTAATATAAAATAATGAAACATATATAAAGATGAAATAATGAGAGTCCACTATGAGAGCCCACCTGAGAGTTCACTTGAGAGCTCACTAGGAGAGAGTCCACTTGAGAGTTCACTCTGAGAGTTCACTATGATAGATCTGTATATGACTGTTCACCTGAGAGTTGACCCATCTAAAGCGATCATTTGAAAGATATTTTATTTGAGTTCTTTTTGGCACCAACTTCACTTGGGTCTTCACCTGGGACTGGTAGATTCACAGTTCAAATGTTTTATTGGAGACTTCTTTATTAAAGCGAACCTTTCACTATTGGCTACTATTATAGCTGAGAGATTCACCTGAGAGACTTCGCTTGAGCGCTTTTTTCCATATGCGATCAAACCAAGTTGAATAAACCAGGCTGCGCTGTTTGAAAGATTGCTGATCACTGCTCAAAACCTATATATTTTGAAAACAAAAACTACTTAAAAATACTTTTTTTGAATAGAAACTTGATAGTTTCATACTGATTTTGAAATTAGCATGTGAAAGTTTCATGAAACTTTCATGAAAGTTTCACTGTGGTATGAAAGTTTGCATGAAAGTTTCATGAAAGTTTCATGAAAGTTTCATCAAACTTTCATGAAACTTTCATAGCAAGATGAAAGTTTCATGAAAGTTTCATAATGCCTTGAAAGTTTCATGAAAGTTTCATCAAACTTTCATATCACTGTGAAACTTTCATGAAAGTTTCATGAAACTTTCATGAAAGTTTCATGCAAACTTTCATCAAACTTTCACCTCTATACTTCCAAAATCAAAAAAACTTAAGAAAATCATATCAAAACATCAATATTTTCATTGAAATCTATGTGGAAAATGTTCAAACTTGAATGTTTTTTGGTGGCATTGAAGTGCACCTCAGTGAACTGTCCCTCAGTGAACTGTCCCTCACTGACACTCAAGTGAAACCCTCAGTGAACTGTTTTTGAGTGAACTGTCCCTCACTGACACTCAAATGAAACCCTCACAGTGATCTGTCCCTCAGTGAACTGTCCCTGACACTCAAGTGAAACCATCAGTGAGGCTCACAGTGAACACTCATCTCTTCAACATTTCATTAAAAACCGCTGAAAAACAAACAATGCTTGGAAAATTGTCGACACTGTTTTTGTTTCCTGATGGTGACTTGTGTTTTTCCTTTGAGAATAGCTGGACAAGGTTCACTTCAGAGGTTTCTTCACTTGAGAGGCCTTTCACTTGAGAGCTGTTCCTTTTAGAGTTCTTTTTTTTGAGAGCTAGGTCTGTTCAAGTTTTCACTTGAGAGTTCTAGAGGGCTGTTCACTTGAGAGATGTCCTGTGAGCGTTATCCACTTGAGAGTTTGAGAGGGTTGTTCACTTGAGAGGTATTCACTTGAGAGTTTAAAAGGTTTCTTCACTTGATAGGTTTCCTTTGAGAGCTCTTGACAAGTGAGTTGTTCCTTTGAAATTTCTTGACAAGTTTTCACTTTGAAGTTTTACTTGTGCTGTGATTTGAAGTTTTCACTTTGAAGTTTTACTTGTGCTTTGCATTGAAAGGTTCACTTGAGAGTTCACTTGCCTCTCTCTCTCTCAAGTGAAACCCTCACAGTGATCTGTCCCTCAGTGACCTGTCCCTTATATAATGACTTTTGAGGTTTCTTCACTTGAGAGGCTTTTCACTTGAGAGCTGTTCCTTTGAGAGTTCTTCACTTCTGAGTTTGAGAGGTCTGTTCAAGTTTTCACTTGAGAGTTTGAGAGGGTTGTTCACTTGAGAGATTTCCTGTCAGAGTTCTTCACTTGAGAGTTTGAGAGGGTTGTTCACTTGAGAGATTTCCTGTCAGAGTTCTTCACTTGAGAGTTTGAGAGGGTTGTTCACTTGAGAGGTGTCCTCAATTGAGAGGTATTCACTGCTGAGTTTAAAAGGTTTCTTCACTCTCTCTCTCTCCTTCTCTCTCTCTCTCTCCCTCTCTCTCTCTCTCTTTCTCTTTTTCCTTTTTTCCTTCTCTCTCTTTTTCCATTTTTCCTTCTCTCTCTTTCTCTCTCTTTCTCTCCTTCTCTCTCTTTCTCT